AAGAGCGTGAAGAGCTAAAACACATACACAGAGCTGATCTTTATTGTTCCTCTTGTCTTCAACATATTATATCCCAGCTTATCCTGAAGCCTAAGGAAATACTATTTTGTAATTCTATGATTCATCCCACTTTAAAAATGTTTCTAAAACATTTACTCATCCATGATCTTCTGTATACTCACATTATATTCATGAGCTCCCTTCCTTTTCTTCCACATGTGTATCTTTGGACATATACTTTCAGAATTTTACTTTATAAAGTGTATCTTTACTTTGGGATACTTTTTTTTTGTTAGACAGAGGAATATGATATTTGATGTGTTATTTTGAATCTGTTTTCAAACATCTCTGTATATATCTGATGGTCATGCTCTTTTTTTTTTTAAATAAGGTTCTATGCTTCACTTCACTTACTAGTTCCTCTTTATTTTTTTTAAGATTTTATTTATTTATTTATTTGAGAGAGAGAGCATGCACACATGCAAGCAGGGGGAGGAGCAGAGGGAGAGGGAAAAGCAGACTCCCCGCGGAGTGAGGAGTCCAGGACCCAGAGATCATGACCTGAGCAGAAACCAAGACGCCCAATTGACTGAGCCACCCAGGCACCCCATAGTTCCTCTATTTAATTCCATTATTATGTTTTATCAGCATTAAAGTCAGAGAAGCAACTTTTTTCATTGTTTTTTACCTTTCACAAGATAAAATAATCACCAAGGCAGACTTTTTGGAAGTTTTCACTTTTATACTTTGATCAAGCTGTGGCTTTAGGTGCATGTATAAATATCAAAATGTTTATCAACATTATTTATACACTGACAGGCTTTTTAAAGAAAGGATAAGTGAAAATAGTGTTTGTGATTTTCTGGTGATTTATATCCACCCATTTATCGTCACAATAGCAACTTTAGTGTTGACATTGTTACCTTTTTTTTTTTTTTTTAATGAGGAAACTAATAACCAATGCAGTTAATTTGCCCAGGGTCATACAGCAATTCCTACAACAGTCTGCTAAAGATTATTTTTGTCCTGCTCCTAGATAATGGCACCAATTCTTTGCTATCATACACCCTCCACATCTCTAAGCTGAACCTCAATGTTGTATCTCTTACCTTCCGTTTAACTATAATATTACACTCAGGGTCAACTAAGTAACTTTATGTTGTTGAATTTACTTTGTTCCTTGACTACAAAAAATTCTACACAGGTATCTGTGTTCTCTGAAGCCAAATTGATGGTATTTTGTGATCCAAAAGATGTTGGGTTATGCATAAATTATTAAAACACTTGAATTTTTGCTCCCAGAATATGATATTCATTCTTAAGATACTACACAGGATGATGTATTGGATAAAAACAATTTTGTAAGTCTGTAAATATGTCATAAATAAATAATACCTCAGTTTAAAAAAATAAAATAAAATATTGACATTGTGGATACACAATAATGCAATAGAAGGAATATGGTTGTCAGGGAGGGATAACAAAATGACAGTGACTAATATTTGCTAAGTATATCTCAGGTTCTGTTTTGTGTACTGCATTACTTGATCCTTATAGCAAACTTAGCAGTGGATGTTATTCTAATTTCCACTTTAGAAAGAAAAAAATATTGATGAAAAGACAAAGAATTTGTCCAAGATTGCAGTTGAAAAAAGTAGCAAGGCCAGACTTTGGATCCATAGATTCTGAAGATATATATCCAGGCTCTTCATCTAACTCTATGCTGGTTCTAGTAGAGGTGAAAATAAAGAATAAAGAAAGAAACACGTGTTTGTACAATTGTTCTATTCATTCAGCGATGGGTGGCATTCATTAATTATTGAAATGGAAGGTGCTAGGAAGCAGTTTAGAAAAACATGCTGACGATGATGGGAGCTTTGTGCATGGAATTCAATATCCACAAGCCCCATTGGAAACATAGGACTGTGTTTGATAGTCTTCTACAATATGATCCTCTGTTTGTATAGACCCAGTGAGGTTAGATAATTCAGGATATTGAAAGCCAGACTGAAAAGTCTAAGCTTGATGTTATAAAGAGGAGGAAGCTTCTGAATACCCTACTCAGGGAAGTGACGTGATTAGAGTGGTGCTTTAGAAAGATTGATTTTGCATTTACATGCCATACGGATTGAAATTTGGTGGGATGTCCAATAGGAAAGGAAGCCAAGAACCACTAATGGCATTGCAGGTAGAGGCAGATAAGATTTGGGCTTAACGGTGGAAACAGGAAGGAAGAGTAGAACACAAGAATTATGATGTGGGAATGATGAAAATAACTTTGCGACTTACTGGGATGTATATAAGAGATAGACTTGAGGTTGAACGTGATTATAAAACAATTGCAAGTGGAGGGATGAATTAGAGATATTGGTTCTAGGCATATTAGACCCTATTCACTTGAATAGGTTCTGTACCTTTGTATATTATTTTTAATTACTGAAATGTTTAATTCATCATCTATTTCCTGGGTACTGAGCATAGTCCAGCCACTTTCCTCAATGTTACACACACACACGCACACACACATATATATATGCATGCATGTATATAAGTATGGAATAATTTGGTAGTCAGCAAGTGGTTGGACATATAAAATCAGAATGTAAAAGATAAAAATATTTAGGAAGATACGAGAGCTGCAAGTCATAAGCATGTTTTTCCTCTTAGTCAGGTAACAGAAAGAGGAGGCCAACAAAAAATAAATACAAACGAAAACCCAGGGTAAGAGTCAGCCTGTCTAAAAATAGACTATCTGGCTAGATAAAGATACCCGCTGGCTCAAGTTTTGGTAATGGTGCCTTTGTGCTAACAAAAAAAAAGCCTCTTATTTCTCTGTGGTTGTCTCATGTAAAGGGCACAGCTCAGCTAATGGTGCGTGCCTCTGTGGTCAGAATAAGAACCAAGGACCATGTCTATTCTGAATGTGTGGTCAAATGTGGAGCCCAAGATGTATCGCATCTCTCCCTCCCCCCTTCAGTACTTAGCACTTTTCCTTTTTAAATGTATCCTTAAACTGAAGATTATAATTGCTGTGATGTCCAGTTTAGACCTGGCTGACATTAGAGAGTAAATGGGCATGAGGTGAAGAATTGGCAGTCTTATTATAAACAATCAGCTTGTGGGTGTACATATATATTTTTTTAATGCAAACTTTAGGTCAAGCCTACAGATGAAAAGAACCTACAAAGGCATAATCTGGGATTAAAGAAACATGAAACTATGATAATGTTTATGTATGGCAACTTTCATAGATTTTTTAGGTCATTTAAAATTTTTATTTCCAGGTAAGATTTTAATAGTAGTATGACTTTGGAATACATCAGTATTCTGCACATTAATCTCCAAACCTTAGAGTTATCCGATAATGCACTTAATAGGATATCCAAATAATTTACAGTTCCTAATTAGAGCTGAAATGTACACTCTTGCATTTCTCTACAATATTCATATCTGAAAGGCCATAAACCTGCCCTCCTGGCTCTTGCCCAGTACCGTTTATAAGGCATATTTTTATGTGATCCACAGTACTTCTTTCAAGTCTAGCATAAGGCACACTTGACTTTTGATAGCCATTAGAGATTTTTATATGAATCTTTGATTGTATCAGAACAGGAATTTGCATTTATGTGTTATTTTCAATCAAGTTTTTTTTATAAAATTAATTTCATAGATGATATATTTACATATATATATTTTTAAAGATTTATTTGTTTATTTTAGAGAGAGAGAGATCAGGGAGGAGGGGCAAAGGGAGAGAGAGTCTTAAGCAGCCTCTGCGCTGAGCACAGAGCCTGACACAGGGCTCGATCTTACAACCCTGAGATCACCACCTGACCTGAAACCATGAGTCATATGCTTAACAGACTGCACCACTCAAGCACCCCTTACTTATATATTTTTATAATATATGTATATATTTTAAGTAAATTATATGTAAATTTACAACTTTATGATTATTTCCAATGTGATAATGAAAAGAGAGAGAAGAGGGGCACCTGGCTGACTCAGTCACTAGAGTGTGTGACTCTTGATCTTGGGGTCATGAGTTCAAGCCCCAGGTTGGGTGTAGAGATTATTTAAAAAAAAAAAAAAAGGCAGGGGAGAAAGAGAAACTGAGAGAGATCCCTTCAATGCTAAATGTACCTCTAATTCTTTGTTTCTGGAGTAGAAGTTTCATTAATTTCCTCATGAGACTTTTTTCTCTCTTATTTTCTCCTCTTGCCTCTTTAGCATTTTTGATAATTGTTTATAAAGTTTTGTATACTGGAAAATAAAGTTTTATTCAGGATACATTATTGAGCTTGAAATAATGTTAGTAATTGACACAAAAACACACAAGGCAGATTTTGTAGCTGTTTTTAAAATACAAGGATTACAACTTAAATATTCCACATAAAGCTTTATTTTAACTAAATAATACATAAGTGAAACTAAAACAGGTAGTTTGCAGTTTTATTTAGTTCATAATGACATTTGCTCTAAACTTAACACTTTTCCCAAAACTATTAACATAATATTAATAAACAAAAAGAAAATAAATCTCACATCTTTACAAAAGATATTTATGCTAATAATTCAATAAAGTCTTTGCTTCTTCTTATATTTTTAATTGTACCTGCATTCTCCCTCCATCCCTTTCTCTCTTTCACACACACACACACACACACACACACACACACACGAGCTTGTTTTCCTTGAATGCAAATAAAATCCCCATACTGTGTAGAAAAGGAAGAAGTAAAATTATTGCCTCAATCAATGAAATTTGATAATGAATATTTTACTCTTCATTTTCTATAGTTATAAAGATTGACTAATGTATACTTTCTTGCAATTTGAAAGCATCGTTCAGCAGTTTATGCAAGCCCTCTAATTCAAATATATTAAGTGACATAGGGAGCAATTTTCCTTTATTCCTAACTGTCAGGATACCATTAAGTCTTAATAACGGCCATCCATATTACCTGGCTTACATTTCCTTTGTTTTCACTTTTTCGTAGATGTGCCATCCAGTCCCTATGGAGTGAAGATTATAGAGCTGTCACAGACCACAGCTAAGGTTTCTTTCAACAAGCCGGACTCCCATGGAGGTGTGCCTATTCATCACTATCAAGTGGATGTCAAAGAAGTGGCATCAGAAACCTGGAAAATAGTACGCTCCCATGGAGTTCAAAGTGAGTCAGTGATTTCAAAGTATGTTGGTTAATTCAAGCTGAACTTCAGTGTTTTTGTGTGATTGGGTTTTTATTTTTCTTCAATGTGTACTTTTTTTTTCTTTTAATAAAGTAGGGCTGAGAAGACATTTCCACTGCCTTTTCTTCTTGAGAATAATTTTAATAGAGAGTGGGAAAGTTTTCATCTTTAATAAAGATGGAAGAGTTTAGCAAAATCACCAAAGTTCAATTTTAAGGGAAATATTTACTATTTAGAATCTTCGTGGTGGAAAAACAACTACTGACATGTCAGATTTGATGGCTGAATATTCTGAAATATGTTTGTTCTTCATTTATCTGTAAGATTTCTTCCATAAGTAGTTGTAAAAGTCATACTGTAAAATGTAGAAATCTTATGTATGTATTTATGAAGCCATCTATAAAAATTATCTGTCTACTAAAATTTATTTCAAAATTATGTTTTGAAAACTCAGGTTTTTCCTACAAATTATGGCATTTTGAGTAATAGAATAAGCTAATTCTAAGAAGTTAAAACAATTTACAGCACTTCTTTTCACATATAGAATTTCATCATTGTGAAATTGTGACTTTTTTTCCCATTAAAAGAAGAAGCTAAATTAGGAAATGATAATTAATTATAAGAGGGGGCTCTATTCGTTGGGATATAGAACTACATTGCATAGTCCAAAAGGACAGTAAAGAAAATAGTGAGGACACTATTGTTCCAAAGTGTCCCTCCTCTGCTGATCCTGGCCCTGGCATGATCCTAACATGTATGGTGTAAGGGCTCTGTAAAAGGCATGAACTGTCCTGTGAAGAAAACCATGAGCCCTCCTGTGAAGAATTGTCCTAGTGGACGACAGAGACAGAACAGATAAAATCATTGTAGTTCCACCAGTGTTGGCATCTCCTTGTTCCGTTTTTACTGAGAGTAACTATATGTTTTCTATAGAAGTGCCAGAAATATTCATCAATCTGTCATCAGTCATTTACTACATGCTTCAAATAATGCCCCCCCCAAACATGTCAGCTCTTATCATTTCTCTTAATGATGAGAGGATTTGGATAGGTAGTGTTCTTTGTGCAAATGCTGTGTGGTTCAGGAGAGAAGATAGTATCCCAAAAGAATGAGCAAGTGAGTTCTGGGACTCTAATGGAAGAAACAATTATCCTAGATTCAAGAATTCTATTTTTTACGAGAGGGAAAACAATAGAGGTGAAAGGTGAGAGACAGAAGGAAAAATGAATTATTTGTGACACTACAGAACACTCAGAGTGGGGGTGCTTGTGCACAACCAAGAAGAAAAGTAGTGTTAAAGCTAAATATTAGAGAAATTAAACTTGGCAGAATAGTACTGCCACACCTCACCCCTCCACCCTGCTGAAGAAGGTTAATAGATTCTCCGAAGACTTCTTACAAAGTTGCAACGTCATGAAAGATTTATAATGGCCTTGATCTGATGGAGTTGTTCATGTTCAAAAACCTGATTTTGTTACTCCATGTATCCATCTCTCAGAAGCAGATTTCTGTGTTTATAAAACTGATATATAAGAAAGAACATTTGTTAATTCACAATGAGAAAGCACTGTCCTGGAAATTAGACTTTCAGAATATATATAATAGGTATCTTCTTTACCTGTCAGTATTTTATGTAGGAAAGGAAATATGAGTCAGAAACCTGTTCGGTGAGTCTTGAATATCAGTCAAGACCTCACTAAGCCTAATTACCTCCCCAAGACCCACCTCTAAATACTATCACATTAGAGGTTTTGGTTTCAACATACGAATTGGCGGGTGGGGGTGGGGGCGGGGGGCGGGAGAGGGTATGTTGGGGGCGGTAGGTACACAAATCAGTTCATAGTTCCTAAATATTCATTCTATTTTAGTCACTGTGTTAAGAACTGAAAATAAATCAAATCAATAAATTTTGAGCACAGACTGAAGAATTTGGTATTATCAATATCTTCTGTTTTACAGAGGATGAAACTGAGGGCTATCTATATAAAGCAAAAACTTGAGACTATAAAGTTTAGCTTCTTATCTGTAAGGTAATATGGGTAAATAATGGAGAAACCAAAATTCAACCCCTAACAGGAAATCTGATTCCAAAGCCTGTACTGTTGATGTCTATGCACTTTTTATCCTCTATTCAGTTAAGAGTTGAGAAAGTGGAACAAAAATTACTGCCCTGTAAAGTATGAATATGACCCATTATATATATATGTGTGTGTGTATGTATAAAATTTGTAAGTATTTTATATAATTTTAAATATATTTATATATAAATAATTTTTATAATATAAAATTTAAATATATATAACATGTAATATGTGTGTTTGTTGCAATGTGCTTTAGATAGCTAGTGGAAGGATTTATATAGACAATTTAGGGAGCAATTTGCCTGACCAAGTTAAATATGAATTAGAGAGTAGAAATATCACTGTTATTTAGAAGTTTCTTCTTAGAAAAGAAGAAAGCAAGGAGGAAGGGACAGGGAGGGGGAGAGGGAGAGAAAAAAGGAAAGAAGAACAACCTGTCAGAATGGCTAAAATTGGACATTTTAAACATGTTTCTTCACTCCACCCCATATATGTATGGTTGACTAGACTGCAAGGTCCAGAACGGGTATGGTAGATATTGTGTGCATGTGAGTTGTGAAATTATGTGATGTAGTCATCAGTGGTTTCAAAAAAGATTACAATTGAGAGAGAAATAATTACATAGTTGCTTCAGTGGGAACATTGTACTTCAATGCAATACAAAGATATAAGAACAGAGTAATTTAGTAAAAGAATTATTATAAAGGTTCTAAAGAATGTGGCCCCAGTGCACAGTTCTCTGATGCAGCTTGATTTAAGGGTGAAAGTTCAATGATCTTAAAAATTGTCTTCAACTTTGTAATTGCACATATTATGGAAAAGAGATCCGTAGCTTTCATTCATTTCTCAAAAAATGTATCTTAAAAAAATTTTTTTAGTTTGACTTTGTTCTCAAATTATAGTTTAGCTGAGTATACAATTCAAGCTTGATAATTACTTTCCTTTGGTAATCTAAAGAGAACATTTTACTCTCTTCTGTCTTCCCTTATTTTAAAGCCTGCTGGAAGTTGTTCTTTGTAAATATTTTGACTTTTTTTCTTAAGCTGGTTTTGTGATATCTACTTTAATTTGGTATCTTGAGGTTTAATTGCTTGTCCTAATGTGGAGTTCTTTATTTGTTCTGTTTGAGGTTCATTGTATTCCTCAATCCGAAGCTCCATGTCTTTCATCAATTCTGGAAAATATTATCATCATTACCTTCTTGAACATGAATATTATGTCTTCCCTCATTCTCTCTGTTCATTTATTCTGATAATCAAAATTATATGCTACACTTGATATTTGGGAAGTTAGAATATCATAGCTCTTTACCTTTATTATGTTTCATTCCTTTACTATGTTATTTTTCAGTTCTGTCTACTAGTTCACTAATTCTTAATTCACTTATATCTGCCATTAAAACTATTAAAATTTTAATGGTCATATTTTTAATGTATGTAAGTTATATTAGTTCATTGTATGTCTCAGCAGTATCTCACTCATAAAATTATATTTTATGATTTAAAATTGTGATCTCATATTTTGTTAATCCTATTTACGAGGATCATGCAAGACCTGGGGTTTGGGTGTGTTCTTCCACAGAAGATATTCTTTTGCTTCAGGTAGTTGCCCTGGAACATTCCAAAGGTGGAAGCATCAGAGCATCCTAAATTAATTTCTTGATTTGAGTTTCTGTACTATGAGAGCAGGTTTATAGTTACTAATTTTCAAGAAGTTCTTATCCAACCCCCTTTGCCAAATTGGGATTTGGTTCAAGGCCAAGCCAAACAAATTTTTTCTAGCCCACACTTTTACTTGCTTCCAAGAACTTTGACATTCCTGGCTCCATGCAGGGGTCCGAGCGTCAAATCTCCCTCTTTTCTTCTTTCCCCAGTGAGGACATTCAAATCCAATCTTCTATATTACAGATCTGTGCAAAAGCTCTCAGCTGTCTGAGTACCAGTGAGATTTTCACAAGACTGCAGTAACTGATAGAAAAACAGTTACATGGCCGCTCCTCTAGCTTCAGGTCTCCCCATCCACATCATTTTTTTCATATTTCAGAGTTTGCATTCCTTTTCTATGAGCTAATAGGCGCATTTAAAAAGATTTTTGAAAATGGTATGTACAATTGTTACCGTATTTAAAAGACTTGATTTTATGGCTGTATTGTTGAAATTCTGAAGACATTTTTTAAAGCATATGCATGGTTTTGAATAGCGAAAAATGCTTCTTTTGTGCCTTTGCTTTATAGTTTGAACTGATCATTCATCTTAAAGTTTAAGAGAGTTTTGTAAGCATAACTGTACTCATTGCCTTTGAGGCATTTGTTAGAATATAGATTTAGGTTTATCTGTTAAAAGACAGTTACTATGGTCATGAACATTTCAGCTACTATTTTTTTACCCTCGGCATGGTTTTATTTATTTATTTTAATTTACATGAATTTAGTTGACATTCGGTTACTTTTCTTTCTTCATAAATATCTATAAGTCATTATATATTAATCATGTATCTACTTTTACCCAGAAATAAATACCAGCTCTTGCTTGATTGTGTGGCATAAGCAAGAAAATTTTAGCAAAAATTTTTCCTATTAGTAGATTCTGATTCTAAATAAGTCATTAATTAATTTCCTGTGAATTTCACCTGCTCACTCTGCACCTGGTCCTAGGTTTAGGGTGCAATTGCGGTCTAGACCAATTATTAAATTCTTCAAGGTTTAGCTGAAGTCTTACTGATCATCCAATCACTGATGTGACACAAAACTAAATTTTGAAACATGGAGAGTTGTGAACAAATCTGATATCAACAACTTGAACTATTCAAACTTCAAATGTGAGTCATTCTGACATTTAATTTTGAGTGAAAAATATGTATCACAGGTGTAGCAAGACTTTATGATTGGGAAGGATACATGA